CAGCACCCTCCTACTTCCTCCTCACTCTTACGAATCTACATTCCTTCCTGAGATCTGAGATCTGTAAGTAAGCGATGTTTCGTGGTAACATCACAGAAAGGCATTTTTGTTCACTTTTCCTGGCTGGTGAAATGATCTTCCCACAATCGCAGTAATTAACTGAACACCCAACACATTATCTGACAGCAACACTAATTTAAGCCCATACCCGACACATTTGACATAAAAACTGGGACCCGAGGCACACCTGCATTAAATCTCCTACATGAGGTAGACAAAACTCATTTATTAAAACTTTTATTCAAATTGTGAATAGATTAAATACATAAAGCAAGCAAAGAGCACTCCTTTTAATATAATCACTACAGTTGTCAATCAGTGGCAGATTGGCTACATTGCTCAACGTGTGCTGGACCGAGTCGAAATAGTCTTGGTTATTGGACCAGTTATTGGATACTGTTATTTCCTTCTCACATTGCTGATTTCACCATTAACTCTTCACCTGAACAGTTTATTTTTTTGTATATGGTATCATTGTAATCCTTGACCATCAAAACATAGGGGTAGACATCACCTTTTGTGTGTTATCATGTTTGGTTCAGGAGATATGACACAAAATACATAATTTTGTTATGGCGGAAAGTAAAATCGTCGCCATGGCAACCACGAGGTGTTTTTGCGATGGCTCCATTTCTGAACATGTTTAGGGCTGTAAACTATACAAGTGTACCAAGTTTCATGCTTTTATGAAAAAGTGAACATTACTTTCACATATCACCTGGACTACTAATTTTGAAAGAGTAATCACGAGGCTTGATTATTGTAACTCTCTATCTTCCTTAAACAGCCTTCAGATGGTTCAAAATGCGGCTGCCAGAGTCCTGACGGGAGGTTGAAAGCGGGAGCATATTATCCCTGTCCTTCAGTCGTTACATTGGTTACCTGTGCGCTACAGGATTAATTTTAAAGTGCTCTTATTGGTTTTTAAGTCTTTAAATGGTTTAGCACCCTCATACCTCTCCGATTTGTTGATAGACCACCAACCTGCAAGAGCGCTTAGGTCTGCCAATTTAAGGCTCTTAGTGGTTCCTAGCACCAGACTCAAGTCTAGGGGTGATCGAGCATTCACCGTAGCCGCTCCGAGACTTTGGAATAGTCTTCCTACAGAAATCAGAACTGCCCCTACACTATCCATTTTTAAATCTAGGTTAAAATCATTTTTATTTTATCTGGCTTATTATTCATAATTTGCATTTGCTTTGCCTTTTTTTATTTTATTTTTATATAAGTTTTTTTTGTGACCGTGTCTTTGTTTTAATTCTGTTAATGTTTACTTTTGTACAGCACATTGGTCAATGGTAGTTGTGTTTAGTTGTGCTTTATAAATAAATTGAAATCGAAAATTGAAATTAATGCATTGTGTTGCCTTCTTGAGCATCAGTAAATGTTTTCACTTTTTATAATAGTTATGTATGAGTCCGTCAATTGTCCTCCATGTGAAAATATAGATCTCGAAATCATACAGTCACTGTTGGAAAGGGCTCAAATATGCAGAAAATGTTGGAAAACCAAAGAATGTGCAGGAGCTGGAGGATTTTTCTGAAGAACAGCAGGCAGTGGAACTGCTCAGGACCAACAAGGGACTCATTAACAACTCTCACAAAACAGAAAGACAGTCGTGAATCATCCAGGAAACGACACACAGTATTAAGATTCAAGGGTATGTAAACTTTTGAATGGGGTCATTTTTATAAATAATAATAGAATTATTATTTTGTCTTGTGGAGTATATATAAACATCTGTTATGTGAAATAGCTTATTCAGGAGAGTACTAAATAAAAATAACATGCAATTTTCATGATCCCTCTTAGTTAAAATTAATAACATATTTGCATATTCTGCAAGGGGTATGTAATCTTATGAGCACAATATATATATA